GTCCTTCATGTCCTACAGGTCCTTAATAATCCTCAAACCTTTGACCAAACCAACTGATTTAGAAGCAGTGACACTGACCGGTGGCGGGGTCGATGTGGATGACTCGTCCTCCATCGTAACACGCCACCCAGAGGCGACCGGCAGCATCAAGAGTCATCCCATCAGGAAGCCCCTCCCCGTCTGCCATGCGGTATACCACCCGACGGTTACCTAGGCAACACAAACAGAACCAGTAGGAAGAACGACATGAGCAAAATGAGGAGGTACCCAAGCAGGTGGACCTCCAGGTGTTGCCATGGTTACCTAGCTGTCCAGTGGAGGAGTCGTAGTCGAAGGCGTCGACGCTCAGCGCCAAGCTGTCGATGTAAAACATAGTCTTCAAGTCGTCGCTCCAGTCCATCCCGTTGGAGATGTCCACCTGTTGGGGAGAGACAGGTGAGGCTCGACTCGTTCAGGTGGATCAGGACTAGGCACCAACAGGTGAGCCTACCTGGCTCAGGACTTTGGTCACAGACAGGTCCGAGTTCACCAGGTACAAGGCTCCTGGTTTCACCTGCGCCGTCTGAGCGTCCTTCCTCATCGTCCCTGAGAGCGACCGCCCGGTGAGCGGGTAACCATGGGAAACGGCTAAACAGACGAGAACAGAGACGCTAACCTGCTAGCAGGCGGCCCAATGGATCCACCTTTCCGTCGTTCAGGCGGTTCTCCGGTTTGTCCTCCTCTACGCTCACCAGTGATGTCACCTTCTGGGACGTCCAATCAACGGCTGCGATGCTGCGGCCAACGCCGGCCACATAACCGCCCGACCTGCGGGGGACGGCGAATCCCACAGTGTCACCTGGGGACCAAGAGTTGGACTGATGAGAAGCAGGTAGGTGAGAGACCGTCCTACAGGTGAGACAGGGGACGCCTACCTGTCCCCAGAGAAGCGATCTGATTGGTCGCCGGATTCCAGCGGTGGATCTTCTGCCCGGCGATGTCCACAAAGAGCAGGGTCTGATCTGACTCCTCCCACACAGGCCCTTCACCAATCAGAGCGTGCTCCTTCACCACAGACTCCACCTTCACTGACGACATCATCACCTGTCGGCCGGAACCAATCACAGAACAGGAGGAAGAGAGGAGAACGCTGGGGAGGGGGG